ATTTTGGCAATAAAATGCTTTCATTTTAATAACATCCCAGAAAATATTGTAAGGCATATGAAAAATAAAAAATAGTATGCAACAATATAGCATTAATGATCCTGCATCTTAAAATACATCCCATATGCACACAGAATTCACACTGATCTCAGTTAAAGATGTGTGAAAGTGGCATGCAAGTAGAGCAAGAGTGGCCCCTACATAAATATAGACATAGCCATTTGTTGAGAAATTTAAATGTTCAAAACATAACCAAGAACACTTACAAAGTATTGTAAAGCTGGAGGCCTGCCAATTTTGGTTCCTAGATAGTCCTCATTTTAACTCTATAATTTTCAAAGAAGAAGCATCAGTGTATTCCCCAAACACTCTAAATTCATTAGTAACATTTTCTACCATCTTTCTACAAACATTTTACATACATCAAAAGAAACAAAGGAAAATTTCATATGTAACTACGACTCCCCCAAACTCATGACTATTCACTCTTATTTATGTTTTCATGGTAAGTGGGAGTTACAGCCCTTAGTCAAGATTATCTGATGAAATATTTTCTAGTCCTCTCATAATGTCCCTTAATTACATGAAGCATTTGGTATGAAACCATCTGCAAGTAGAGAGAGATACTTGCTACATGAGGATGAGTTTCATTTGAGAAAGTTCATTTTAACAAAAAAAGAAACCTTTAACAAGTAATTTTTGAATGCTGTAGCTCTGTCTGCTCATATAAACCAATTTTACTATTTTGGTAACTTGACTGCTTAAGTCAACCACAAAAATGTTTTCCTTGTCTGTCTGACAACTATTGTATTGAGTGGTTTGATCATGATTATCATCTAAAAGAAGAGGACTGTTCTCTGCCCTATAGACACAGCTTGAGTAAGTAACTTCATAACAGTTACAGCATTAACAATATTTAAAGTGTTGAGGAACTAATGTTTAAAGGTATGAGGAACTAATGAAACAAATTTTATTACATAAGTCCCTATAATGTTTTCATTCATAAAGTTATTCAAAAATGAATTTTATATAATTAATAAAGAAAAGAACATGCAACAGTGTCATGAAAGACAGAAATACAGGCAGAAATATAAAAGAAATAAGGGGTACATTCTCATTTATTTGAAACATTGATATGAAGTTTGTTCCAATGACATGAGTGTCCAAGATGAACCTACTCAGTAAATGGCTAAGTGTCCATAGGAAAAGTCAAGGATCAACAAAATTTGAATTTGCAAGCCAACTTCACTTAAACATCAAATCTCTGAATCTACTCTCAGACTTGGAGCTAGATGTTATAACAAATTGCACACAAAAGCAATTTCCTTGCAGTTTGTCTTGTTCCCTATGATTACTGACATATTAAATGTTTACCTTGTCTCCTGATAAACTGTGAACTGATTCAAAGAAAAGTTCACTAACATGGAAGAAATGAAAGGGTGACAAGAGCATTTTGTCAACAGTTGAAAATCTAAGGGGAAAGTATATTTTAACAATTTATGCATTTAGCTTTGCAGCAAGGTTAGCAGTAAGAGTAATAAATTCCCTACTTATTGAAAAGTGTTTTCTCTTTAAAGACAGATTGTCTTCTCTAGAGAAGAGGTAGTATAAATATCAATATATAGGGCAATTTCTGTAGTGGCATTATTTTGTTTTTATTTTTTAGCAAATACCAAAATAAAATTGTATAATAAGAAAATACACTAGCATGCAAATTAAGGTTGCCTAGAAACATTCTTAACTGACATCCTGGGTCTCAACAACATTTTATGATATGTTCATACAAGGAGTTTAAATTTGCAAACCGTCTTTTGGCATCATTTTCTTCTCTCCCTCCCTTTCACTGCTTTAGCTTCCTATTATGAATTTTAAGGCCCTCACACAAAAGACAAGTTCAAGTATGCAGGTATGTTAAAGAGGTTAACATTCCAAAAATACATTTTGCAAACAACAACAATAATAATTAAAGTAATTAACAAATTATTCAAAGGGAACAAATAATTTTCTCAGAATTTGTTTTATATTTAAAAGATTCATTTCATTAAGAACTAAGCAATGTCACATAATTAAGACTCTCTAACTAGGAAAGACTATCAGTCTGAATTGTTCATTTCAATTTTCTTTCCAACAGAACTGTATAAAGATAAGTGAGAATCATCAGTCATTTATAAACATTTCTAAGTGTTGCTTTAAATCTCGGAGGAAACAAGATAACATGGTTGATTACAATACTGGAGTCACATTACAGCCTTAAGAATTAACATCAGGATTGACAAATTGCATTCCTTTTTTTTCCAAGACTACACTTCCACATTGTCACATGTGTCTACATCGTTACATGTTCGCTGACTGAAATTACAGAATATGTAATTTACATATTCTGAAATTATATATGCTGAAATTACAGAATATGTGGTTTACACTACAAGTTAAAACAGCCTCAAAATATTATAAGACTTGCTTCTCCTGCTTATCATTTGCTAATCTTTAAATGAAATCAGTTAAAAACAAAGTATTTATGGAGTATGTATTTTCCAAAGGTGCTTGATGTGCTTGGTAAAAATAAAACTTTTCATTTAGTATATATCTGTATTTTAGTATCATTTACACAATAAACTCTAAGGCTTAAGAAAAAGAGAAAGGAAAATGCATATCCCTTATTCATTTGGAGAAGATAACGTATTACAGAAGGGGAAAGAATATGCCAAATCAAAGTAAAAATTTAAGTACATCCATCAAGAAAATATACATTATACCCTTTCCAAGATTGTTAGATTTTGAATAAGAATGCAAAGCAAAACAGGTATGGACACTTGATGGTAAAGGAAAGATTGGTTTTGTGCACAGATATTGAATGGACCTCTCTATCAGCGTGACATAGAGGACATAGAAACTAGGCTTTGAGAGGCCGTTAAAAACAAGAGATTTTTAAAAGTTGAAAGAATATGGTAATCTTGCTGACTAGGAAATACATGTAAATGCTGTTACAGCTACCTGCCATAAAATGTAAATATCTTAAAGTAGTTAAATGGCCAGATTGCTAATGCTACTACAGAAAAAGCTGAACAGCTGTCTAGTCTAAGTTTAACACCTTGGTGCACTCTTTGCAATTAAATACTTTAATGCGCACAAACAAGAAACCAGTAAAGCATATAGAAAAATGTTTTGGCTAGTGTTTTCTTTTTCATGCAAATATGTGCTGTACATGTAATAAATATATTTGTTTGCTGGAAAATGCTCTTCTGTGCTCTAACAAAGTATTCAGTAATGGCAGGTTGTATGTTTAGTAAAGTGCCTAATGGATATAGCTCTTTTAAATGTCTGAACTGAAAATTCTGTAAGCTTCACTAGATGACAAAAGAACCTCACAAGCCAGTATCACGTTAACTTTTAGAATCCACTGAGCCCACATTTTTTAATTGTATCAAATATTTGCGATAACTTACATGATTATAGGCATCCTCATTATCAGCTAAACAGGTTCATAATGGGGTATGCACAGTGAATAACAGGAGGAGAGGGAATGCGGGGGTTATAATGAGGCTCAAGATATATACATAACTAATTAAGAATATGGAACCTCTTTTCATGGTCAAGAAAATTATTTAACTGGTGCATGCTTTGAGAGCCTAAACACTGAAAGGCTTGGATGGGGGGAAATAAGATAACAGAATATGAATTATTATTATTTTCCAAAAAAAATAGGCTTCATGACATGTACTAGTAGAAAAGGACTTTTATGACTGATCCTATGAGTTTTAGAAAAAGGGACTCTTAGAAACAAGAGTCTTTTCCTAAAGACATTTGTGTATTGTACAAAAGGGTCAATTTCAATAGTTTCTTGGATCATAGTGAATCTAAGGCTTCCTTGATTATAGTAGACATAAGGTCATTGATTCTGTAATTATAGTCACTGGAAAAACTGTGAAGACTTAATAGGTAAAGAGGAGTGTTCATTAGAAATAAAGCAGTTCAATCTTCAAATGCTTTATAATTCTCTGCAATAAAAATGATACAATTTTAGTAAACAAATCTATTCTGAATCTACAAGTTTATTTTTTTACTGCAAGCTCTTAAATTCGTTTTCACAGTTTTTCAATTAATCATTTTGTAAAAACGCAGCTTTCAATATCAAAATTCAGTGTGTCCATGTAAAACAAAAAATCCTTAGCATGATTATAAAGAGTCTGGTGAAGGGCTAGAACATTCAGATATTCAAAGACAGAGACTGAGTGAAACAATGGAAAGACACTCAATTGTGCTGGCGGTAAACACGGAACCTGTAGTTGCGGTAAGTGGGATAGGTGAAATCCCATCTGGAGATGTTTAGCCTTGCACTCAGGAGGATCTGTGCCCCATTCTTACTGTCTGACTTCAGATTCCTGGATGTATGTAGTTGTGCTCAGATTTGATTAAAGGGGAAACGACACCCCATTTTCCATCTCACATAACCAGCTATGATTGGGCTTCTCTTTACTATTCTCTCTCACTGCTAAAGAAATTTTGAGGTTTTTTTTTTTTTGGCCAACTTCAAACAAGCTAACAGTTGTGACTAAACAAAAAGCAAAACACTTTGAATACAACAGGTGTGCCAGAAAAGAAATAAAAATATTAAAATCTGAGGAGACTGTAGAATTTCTGCATTAATTTGAGAATTTTTTGGGGGGCACTATCAATACATTTTGTACGTTTGAAAAGCCATTCTGGCAACGTTAACATATATTAAAATGTTTATACATTCCAACGTTAAGTGTAAATTTAGTCTCCAGCAAATAAATACCATAGCTGGTTTTGGCTTCTATTGGTATTTTGATTTTATTAATTAGTTTCTTATTTTTTTTTTCAGATTTTAAAATTGTTTACAACATGCTCAAGTAGACTTTCTAGTCAATTCACCCAAATTCCAACAGGAATTGGTTTATAAATTGGTTCCAACTGGAACTGGTCATTTGGAATTTCCAGCATGGGAAATTATTTTATATGTGCCTTGATAAGTACCTTAAATTACAAATTGATGTGTCTAAACCTAATGAAGAAAACAAAAGGTACTGTTATGTAAATGTTGCACTTAAAAATATCTCTATGATTGGGCATCTAATATCCATCTAGACTTAAGGGCATAATGTACACTTTTTTTTTTTTTCTTTTTGCCCCTTCTTAGCATCAATGACAGCAGCCCATAAGCACAGTCAATACTGTGCTGTAGTTGCCGAGTTAAGATGATTGGTTGTATCCTAGCAGTGCAATGGCAAATTGTCAACAGTTGAATATTTTGCTTGTTTCTGCAGACTCAAAGCCTATGTCGAGAGTCATGGCTATATCCCCCAGGCGATCCTCGGTTCCTATGAGGTTTGTAAGTGTCCTGGTATGAGTCAGGGTAATCTTCTTCCACGAGAGGGTAATGATCTCGGCTATGCTGGGAACTGGAAGACAAGCGGTTCCTACTCTTCCGAGCCCTTTCATTGTGATAATTTTCATCAGAGGTCATTAGACTTCGCCTTTCAATTGGAGAGTTCTCTGTGGAGTGGTTGCTGTACCTCATACGCTGACTCTAAAAATATCAGATGGTTCACTGGTTAAATTACATCAGCTTCATTCATCTAGAACATGCAAATGTATGTACAACAGTAGGATCTGGACAATAAGATGCTAAATATCTGACTCAATAAAACATTCTGATGTACAAATGGTCTGCTTGAAATACCTGGTCTTATGTATTTGGGACACAACATGCAAAGATGCCAAAGTGCTGGTAGTTTATGAATTTAATTACATAATACTGCATAATTATGCTTCCTATTAAAAACTCAGAATTTAAAGTTAGCTGCTGAATGGAACTTAATATATTTACGAAGGCCTAATAATTCCACTTCTGTTGCAAAATGAGGATTATTTTACTGTTGGGAAATAAGTTAAGGTTCAGAATAGCGTCTGTAATTTTATTCCTCTCTTGAACTGATAACCTTTCTCCTCCTAAAGTCACACACTTCTTCTTTATTAGCTGAATGTTCCTGATACCTTTTAAAAATATTTTAATAAAATTATGGTTTGTGCTACCCATAAAATATTTGTTTCTACATCCTACAAAAGACTCAGCAATATTCTCTCCAAAGAAGTACACAATAATTATGGAGCCAGTGAATTGATATATTTACAATTCTTGCTTCCTCAACTGAAATGTCCTGCAAAAATAATCTTCAGAATATAAACTAAATTCCTCTAATACCATTACTTGAAATTAATATCTTCAGACACTTATTTGAGCGCTCAGAAAAGGCTATTAACGTTTTTCTTCAAATCATGGGAAAACATGTATCATAGCTGTGTCTGCCTGCTTAAGTAGGTCGCCTCAGTTAAGAAACAGGATGCTGATGAAACCAAAGACCCAGATGCATTTCCTCTAAAGGACACTCACCTGCACACAGCAGGAAGCTCATTCAACAGTCACGGCCTGTGCTGGGAGCCCCATCCAGGGGTTTCACAATTAAGTGCCCATGGTTACTAGGAGAAATAGGCCCCAGGATAAAGGGCACCACGGTAACTCAAGTGAAACTGGGAGAAGCACTCTATGTGGATGTCTTGGAGGTGATAAGTCAGGAGTGTTATATTCATAAACAAAGTGCAACATTTCATTTCCACCTACTAGTGTAGGTGGAAGCATATCGCTTCATGAATCCATTTCTCACCCTACAATGTACAATTTGGAGCCAACCCAAACCAGTCAGTGGAACGCCACACTCGGATCAGCAGGCAGGCAGTGAAACAAGGAAAGAAAGAGTCCCAGTGCGCACATATACACTGCATATTACAATAGCCCGTTTCCCAAGTTCATTTCCAGCCTCGAAAGCTATTCATTTACAGTTTTTTTGCTTACAAAGATGCAATTTTGTAAAAGAGTAATACAGTTATAATAACATTTGAGAGAGTGCCATTTATCTCAGAGTTAACTCTACAGGATCTACAATTATGACTATCATTATAACCCATTAATACAAAACTAGTCATGATGCAAGAGAGCTCAACTGACTACCTGTTCCTCAGTCAGCTGGGGGTTTGGCCACATTTCAGCAGTGGCTTGGTAGATGGTACATAATTATTGATGGAGGAAGGCAAGATCCACTTTGTATCACAATGCCTCTGGCTCCCCACCTCTAGCCCTGAGTGCAGCACCACAACAGCAGGAGAGCAAGCCTCCTGCTCCTACACTCGTTGCCAGCTTCCCTAAAGGACACTGGCCATAGCCGATGACCGAGGTGGGCCCTGCCCACCCCCAAGAAAACTCAGGGATTCACGACTGTTTCCAAACAAGACAACTCTACTTACGTGCATGTTTTGTTTGGGCAAGCTAGGGGACAGGCCCCGCAGCCTGGGGGGGAAGTGTTTGGTAAGGGTGGCCATAAGGTCCATCTGTCTCACATACCTTACTTAGCTAGCCCTGTGCCTGACAGTGCCACCACTGTATAATCCTTAAGAAGTGATAAGGAGAGGTAATGGACAGTGCATAGTAGGTAGAAAGTTTCTTAGCAGGGTTTAGACATAGGAGGGATGAATTCACCTAGGTAAAAGCCATTATAAATTAACAAAGAACAAAGTTCTAAGGAAAACGCCACTCTCAGGGTAACTTTGTCTAGGGCAGATCATGCTTAGGTAACACTTTTTGAGTTTGTAAAAATGTAAAATAGTCTGTATCTGTTAGAATCAATGTACCCCAAAGATGTGAATCTGAAGAATTTTGTTGCCAAGACTTCAGAGCAAGTATATGAACCAAAGTGATTTGAGTTTGTAAAAATGTAAAATAGTCTATATGATTAGGCAATACTTTAGATTTTTAATATAGTAACGCATGGCTCTCTAGGCCACTCCCAGTCTGTCACTCTGTCAGTCAAGTCTCAGTCAAGTTTCCTATAGAACCTTGAATGTAAGGTTGTAAGAGCACAAGTGACACTACCTGTAACCCAGAAATTGCTGTGGGATATGGTGAGAGTGCTGTTGAGCCCAAATTCCTTCCAAGCAGTGGGGTCATGGGGGTGCTACTGGTCGTGTGAGTGGCACGCCAGTAGGCCTCAAGGTATTCTCCCAGATGTTCACACGCATCCTCCAGCTGGTTTTCATCCAGTATAACATCAAACATTTCCTGTAGATGACAAGGAAAATCCATTTTATTTCTACTTCAGGTTTTAGGCAATGAAACCTAAAATTTCACTGCATGCGGATATGTTTCTAATGTCCAGTAGCAAATATCAAACTTGAGGGGCTGTACTGGAAGTTGCTAAAGTTAAAGTCAAGTGAAGAACTGTACAGTTAACCATGCACAAATTTGGACATTCACATAAAAATGGGAAAGCTGATCAAATATTTGGATCTTTCATTTAGAAAAAAAAAAGAGATGAGGTACGTGTAAAAGTGTTCTAAGGAGAATAGAGTGAAAACACATATGTATTCACGTCTTTATCCATATATTCCTATAGATACTTACTGAATACATTCTTTTATATATTATATAAAAGTTTTGAATTATACTTCAGAATTAGAAGAAAGTTAATGGTACTGCAAGAGGAGTTCTAAAAATGTTTCGGTAACAAATGTATCACTGGAATAAACATTTCATCTCTCAAAGTAACTATGTTGGAGGAAATAACATTTACTTAGGTAATTTTTAGAATGTTGGTGAAAATGTTATCTGTTATCTGTCTCGTGGTAAAGCAATACGAAAGGTTTAGGATCAATAGTAGAAAACCACAGTATAGTGACTTCTCCTACCAGAGGATCATTGTGTGAAATGGTTAAAAAAGAACAAGAACGAATACTTGATTGCAGTGGTGGTAGGCAGGGAGTTGGGGGGGTAGTTAGTCCAAGAAGTATCTGGAGTCCATGTTTCTGACAGTAAGGACTTTGTCCAACACCTGTTCTACAATCAGGAAGTTGTTCTTCAGCTGCAAAGGAGCAGAGTGGCCCCTCTGTCACTGCAGTGTGGTCAGAAACGCAGAATATAACTGGGACACAGATTCCCTGGAGGGACAGTCAGATAACCGTGGCACCTCATAAAGAGAAAAGCCATTCCATGGGTAAGTGAAAGCACACTGCCGACTTTCAGCCACTGAATCCACTTCTTCCCTCTTGCACCACTTCCACCTGCTTTTACAAGCTCATTTTACCCAAAGGAGGAGCTCCCAGTAATGAATCAAATACAGGGTTACTGCCTTCAACACTTGATGCGGCAGGTGGACTGCAGGTTTGTAACAACTGGATGACTCTGAGTTGGTGGTGGGTCAGCTGACTCGCTCTCATCAGCACGAGGGCTCCCTGAAGCAGAAGTCACCATGGAAACAATCTCTCTCCCAACATTAACTCTTTGAATGTTTTCATCACGTTGATCTTTACTGAATATTTTGACCCTAATTTGCAAAGCAGTTTCAAGTCCTTGGAGCAGTGAGACACGTTTAGCAACTAGGAAAGAAATAAGGTGGCTTCAGCCTAAACCGACTGGTGTTTGAGAAGACTCAGCCAGTTTAAGTCATGTAGAAACCATTCCCCCACAAGAACACTTATTAGTGGATTTCAGATGGGTTTTTGCATATTTTATTCGTTCATAAAGTGTTTACTCGGTACCTATTCTGTGCTAGGCATTGTGGGTATACTGTGGCAAAGAAAACAGACTTCATCCCTATGCTCAAGAAGCATCCAGTCTCGGGGGAGAGACAAGTATTAAAATCCATAATACCCTACATCACACCAGGACTTTAATTCAGAACAACAGAGACTGAGCCAGTGAATGTTCAGAGCTGCAGCTTAAAGTTCTGGATTTAGAAGGAGGCCCAGAGAGATACGTGAAAGTTAAGTTTATGAGGGAGAGAAAATTATAAGTCAAAGAATTCTATCTGTAGAGGGAAGAGAATAAAACAGACAAAGAGGAGCAAAGACACAATGGAAGAGACGATAGAGCCCATGAGAGAATAGGAAAACAGCTAGTTCCTACATGGTCAGTCAACATATATCCTTACAATAAATCCTCTTTCCACTAAAGCAAATCAAGGGAGTGTCTGTCTCCTGCAATCAAAAGCTCCCTCCCCGCATTAGCATTAATCTAAGCCGTCAACAGTTACAAATAGAGACTCTGAGAAATGTCCCTAATGCTCTGATACACACATTGCATCCTCTGATAGCACTGCAGTGCTAACTTGAGTGGAACGAGAACAGCCCCATCCCAAAGGGCATGCACAGACTCAGAAAGATGACACAGGAAGAAGAAAGAGGAAACCGCGCAGCACTGGAACAAGGGACCACTCTGTCAGCCACTCCAGGCTAAAATCGTCCACAAATTCTATTTGATCTGGAGTGTGCTGTTTACATAGTGTTATTTATGTTAAATGTATAATTCAATTAGGTAGATCTCATTCTTTAATGTGGGATCTCAACAATGTGTAATCTCAACAAGTCATTTCCTTGCTTTCGGTAAGGTCCCAAGTTAATGAACCCTCCAGGGACACTTGGACTGAGGGTTCTAACTATTACAGCCAGGATTGCAAAGTCCAGAGAGGACAAAACAAGGTAGGCAGCCCTCATTGCAGAGTGTTATTTGGAAGAGTTTTTTTTATCTCCCTGGCTGTTCCACATGTTACATGGTCAGGGCTTCAGACACAATTAAACATACACTTAATTACAAGTAGTTTTAATAAAGTACTTCTCTTTGCCAATGGATCGAATTTGTACACATCAGCACATGGCTGTTTGCTGAAGCCTCAATCATTTCTAGGAAACTAAGCTTTTGCACTGCTAAAAAGACAGCTATATGATAGAAGATGATCTGAAATTGCTTTTAGGCTTTCAAAAGCACAGAGCAAAGCAAATTTCAGCCTCTGAATGAATACTGACATATGCGGCTTATTTCCAACTAAGAGGAATCTCACAGCCTGGATATCTGTGAAAATTTTTCTTTTCAACTGTTTAGGAAATAACACAGCTGATTAGACCAGAGTGTTAGGAAATGAGGATAAGGGAGAAAAAAAATTTTTTTTAATTATACAAAAAGAAATTCAACGAAAAGCAGCCGAATGAATTATGTAAACCAGCTTTGCCAATTTTTCATAAATTTAAAAGTTTGGGCTTCCCTGGTGGCACAGTGGTTAAGAATCTGACTGTCAATGCAGGGAACATGGGTTCAGGCCCTGGTCCGGGAAGATCCCACATGCCGCAGAGCAATTGAGCCCCTGCGCCACAGCTACTGAGCCCACGCGCCACAACTACTGAGCCCGTGCACCACAACTACTGAAGCCCATGCACCACAACTACTGAAGCCTGCGCGCCTAGAGCCCGTGCTCTGCAACAGAGAAGCCACCACAATGAGAAGCCCGAGTGCTCCAACGAAGAGTAGACCCTGCTCGCCACAACTAGAGAAAACCCCGGCACAGCAACGAAGACCCAATGCAGCCAAAAATACATAAATAAAATAAATAAATGTATTAAAAAAAATGTTCAAGCCTAGCTAGCTCCTTACTGTGTAATACGCGAAGCCTCCAGCATGGGATATGGATGCAGAGAGCTATCTAATCAGGAGAAGAGGGTGTGGGTAATGGGGCAGTCACTCAGTGATACCATGCTCTTGGGACTGCCGGAGATAAGGGTAATGCTGAGCTGTTTTCAAAGCACCGTACAGACACAGCACACGCCTCTGACATTTTGTGATGGGGTATTTTCTTCAGCTGAGGTGGGCAGAAATAATGTGGCTTCCAAAGTAAATCAGGAGTGAACAGAGGACTCAAAACAAATCACCAGAAAACCAGGCAGAGTAGGTCCCTTTTCTGGACAACCTCTTTCAGAAAAATGAAAAACTAAAGCATTAGAAATAACAAGAGTGAAAAACATACCTCTAGCTTATCCAGTGGTCCAGAGAACAAAAATGACAGGGAAGAAAGGGAAAGATTGAAGCTGAATAAAATGGGAATGAAGAAAATCTGCAGTAGCTTTTTAAAATTTTTTTAATTATTTAAAGATCTGTCTAGTTCTTCATTCACAGAGTATCACAAACATTCCTAAGGAAGGCACCTGAATTAGAGCAACCAACCATCCTGGTTTGCCGGGGACTGAGTGTTTCTGGGTACTTGGGACTATCAGTGCCAAAATCTGGAAAACTGGGGAGAAATGGAATGGTCAGTCACCCTAGTTTTTAGAAAAAATGGAGCACATTTCAGTTCCTACATTGACAACTGGAACAGGTTCCATTTATTTCTTTTATATTCTCTTGGGAGGGAAGATATAGAGAGTGGGCACGTCTTTCTTTATGACTGTGAAATATATACTTTCTAGCAAAGAGGGAGACTCTCATTAAAACAAACATAATTGGGCTTCCCTGGTGGCGCATTGGTTGAGAGTCCGCCTGCCGGTGCAGGGGACGCGGGTTCGTGCCCCGGTCCGGGCAGATCCCACATGCCACGGAGCGGCTGGGCCCGTGAGCCACGGTCGCTGAGCCTGCGCGTCCGGAGCCTGTGCTCCGCGGCGGGAGAGGCCACGGCAGTGAGAGGCCCGCGTACCGCAAAAAAAAACAAACAAAAAAAACCAAACATAATTTCTTATATGTTTTATCTAGGAGTTGTTATTAAACATTTTTAAATAAAAAGTTTATAAAACTTAGAAATTAATTTTGCAGTTTAATCTTAACTTTTTAAAAAAGTTGGTGCATTACTGAATATTAGCTAGCCAGGGGATTAAATATATACAAACTCTCCCATGGTATATGCATTGCTTTACATTTATTTGTTGTGCAGAGATAAAACCTCACATGGGGCATCTTTCCTATTTCTAAGTGGAAAAAAGAAATAATAGGGGTGTGCATACTTTTACTTCTTTGTTATTGGAATATAGAGCTCCTGAATCTGCCACCATTAAAAAAAAAAAAAGGGCTTCCCTGGTGGCGCAGTGGTTGGGAGTCCGCCTGCTGATGCAGGGGACACGGGTTCATGCCCAGGTCCGGGAGGATCCTGCGTGCCGCGGAGCGGCTGGGCCCATGGCCCATGGCTGCTGGGCCTGCGCGTCCGGAGCCTGTGCTCTGCAATGGGAGAGGCCACAGCGGTGAGAGGTCCGCGAAAAAAAAAAAAAAAAAGACTGGCAAGTACTATTCAGTGAAATAATATGGCTGAA